CTTCTGAGTTTCTGTTTCCATGTGGGTTATTAAGCATACATTATATGTTAGCTTCCTCTCGTAGTCGTTCGGCTAATCTGATTGTCTGAGGGGCTGCAGATCTGAAGCGCAGCTTCAATGTAAGGTAGTCGGCATATGTCTCAATACACCACAAAATGGTTAGAAATGACCATACTTTTGAAAGGGTGGATCGGTAAGCCAGTGGAAGGCTTTGATCAGATGACCAAAAGCTCCAACGGCGGGTCATCATAAGACCCACGTCTTATGACCCTGACGGACCTTACCTAACCATATGTCTCGATGGTAATATTATACTGTTTTAACAGTCCTCTTTGTTGAACTCGTCTTCCATTACCTGTATCTCTTCGTTGCTTCAGCAGTGAGATTTCTTGCACTGGTCAGTCAGTGACCTAGGCTTCAACCCTTCGATCTCAAATATTTTCCTGTATCTTCCCAGCGCAGAGACAGTGACTGTCCACAGAGACAGTTGATTATTCATAATGACAACAGACTATCCAGTGTCCACAATGACAGTCGACTGTCCACAGGAACCAGTTGACAGTCGACTGTCCACAGGAACCAGTTGACAGTCGACTGTCCACAGGAACCAGTTGACTGTCCACAGTGACAGTCGACTGTCCACAGGAACCAGTTGACTGTCCACAGGAACCAGTTGACTGTCCACAATGACAGTCGACTGTCCACAGGAACCAGTTGACTGTCCACAGTGACAGTCGACTGTCCACAGGAACCAGCTGACTGTCCACAGTGACAGTCGACTGAGTTCAGCACCAAGCGATGCTTTCTTTTCCATTGTTAATTGTTAGGAAAAACTGGCCACGAAAATATGAAAGAAAAAAGTGGAAAAAAAATGTGAACGTTAAAGAGAGAGAGGAGAGTTTACTGTGTGTGTGTGTGTGTGCGTGTGTGTGTGTGTGTGTGTGTGTGTGTGTGTGTGTGTGTGTGTGTGTGTGTGTGTGTGTGTGTGTGTGTGTGTGTGTGTGTGTGTGTGTGTATAGATAGATAGATAGATAGATAGACAGAGAGAGAGAGAGAGAGAGAGAGAGAGGAAGAAAATGCTTTCATTAGTGAAGGGTAGAGAAACTGCTTCGGTTAGTAAAAGTGAATGAAAGTTCCTATCTTAGTGAGAGTGAGACGTGTCTTTGTAAGCAAGGGGTGAGCTTATCTCTGTTAGAGTATCTATCTCAGTAAGAGTATCTTTGATGAGAGAATATGAGAGCGTCTGTGCGAATGAGCGAAGGTGAGAAAGAGGGTCTCTATTAGCGTAGATGAGAACGAGTGGCTGTTAGTGAAGGTGAGAAAGTGTTTCTTAGTAAGAGTAAGAAAGAATGCTTCTGTAGTGAGAGAGGCTAAGAGAGTGTGTCAGACGTTAAGAGAGAGTGAGATAGTGCCACAGTCATTAAGGAACAGAGGGATATGGAGCCACAGTCATTAAGGGAGGGTAAGAGGTGTTACAGCCATTAAGAGAGGGCAATAGGGTGTTACAACCATTAGGGAAGGGCCAGAAGGGTGCTTTAGCCATTAAGAGAGTGCCAGAGGGTGCTACAGCTTGTAGGAAAAAGTGCGATAGGGTGTTACAGCCATTAAGGGAGAGTGAGATAGTGTTTTTAAGCCATTAAGGGAGAGAGAGAGGGGATGCCGCTGCCTGAGTGCGGCCAGGAAGGATCAAAGGCTCACAAGCTCTGAGGGGAAGTCAGGACTCAGAGGGTAAAGTGAAGAGACACAAGATAATAACTAAAGGAGATGGGAAACATAAAATATTCAGCGGTTTAGAGTTCAATCTTAAGATAGTTATTCTCTCCTCGAAATGAACTACATGTAATTTGACCTTTAAACACTGAAAGGTAATTTTCTTAAGAAACCTTACCTTCGTCTTACTTTAATAATAATCTTAACAATAAACTTAAAGAGTAATTTGTGGAGAATTTGAGATACATTAGACAAGTTAAAATCTTAAAGCTTGGGTAGAATATAAGTTGTGTTTGACAGGCCTTTGACTACCTACTTATATCATCACAATAAGGTCAGGTGTTGTAAGTTGACCGCGAGGTGTAATCTCGTCCTTATATGTCTTTCTGATCTTTTATTTTTACAGAGTAGAAAAAGTCTTACTTCAATTAAATTATCTCTTACATAAAATTTTTGCAAGATTAATCAACACAGCCAACTCACATAACATAGCAACTAAATAACACTAGTCTCTCTCACCCTCTCTCTCTCTCCCTCTCTCTTATTCTTTCTACATTAAATTCATATTTACCAAAGCTCTAAATTCTTCTGAGTCCAACCCAATTCACTTCTTTTAAAATGCCAAAAAATCCAAAGGACGCAACTAACTGCATCGCTAAATTCCTTTTAGCAGCCTTCCCAGAAGCGCTGACTTGAATGTCAAGAACCAGGAACAGCCAGGAACCAGGAACAAGGAATTAGGAATCAAAAACCGTGAACCATCAACCAGGAAGTTCGCAGCTTCGAAGCCACGGAGTCTTTAGACCCAGAGCCTAGAAAAGATTTTGTGATTTTATTTGCTTTGCTGTCGTGTAAATTAGTCTTGAGTTGTGATTCAGAATGAGAATTCTGAGACATGAAGGACTTTTACTGTACCTCCAGCTGAAGGACTTTTACTGTACCTCCAGCTGAAGGACTTCTACTGTACCTCCAGCTGAAGGACTTCTACTGTACCTCCAGCTGAAGGACTTTTACTGTACCTCCAGCTGAAGGACTTCTACTGTACCTCCAGCTGAAGGACTTCTAGTGTACCTCCAGCTGAAGGACTTCTACTGTACCTCCAGCTGAAGGACTTCTACTGTACCTCCAGCTGAAGGACTTCTACTGTACCTCCAGCTGAAGGACTTCTACTGTACCTCCAGCTGAAGGACTTCTACTGTACCTCCAGCTGAAGGACTTCTACTGTACCTCCATCTGAAAGACGTCTACCTCTTGTTGAAAGGATTTATGCCATTTGCCGCCAAATTCACTAATAGCTAAGGCGATAAAAATTTTGAAGCAAAAACAATGGAGAGTAGCAGAGCGAATAATCACTGTTTGATTCTGGCGTTAACGTCACACATCCGATGGTCTTCGACCAAATTGAAATGCTGACGTTTCTTAAAAGGATGGGCCGATGCACGAGGGAGAATAGTGCCGTGATTGCGTTTCTGGGCTCGAAGGGACGCGAGGTTCTCCAGCATCTAAATGAGACTTGAAGGAGGAGGAGGATTAGGTCGCTAGTCAGCGTCTAGAAGAACCTGCCCCTTGCAGGGGCATGGTTTGACCCTGCTAAATAACTGAAGTAACTTGTACAATATGATGTTGTAGGGTCTACAAGCACCCTGGGTGCATATCTAATTTGACAAATGTTTGAATGCATCTTTAATTTTAAAAAGGTCCAAGAGGAGTCTTGATGCTGGTGAAGGGCTCTTGATTCAATAAATTGAAGGTGCTCTTCCCTTCCTTGGTTTAAACCTGACTGCCTTCTGTTCCCTAGGCGTTTGATTACCCCTACGGATTTAGACTTTCTCCATTACAGTAATATTAAGGAACCAACTACCGAAAATGTAAAATTATTACATTATGGGGAAGCACTAAGCTCACAGGGGGTATACAGCGCATTAAAAGTGGGAGATAATTAGATTTCATCCGAATAAAGGGAGTGCCTCTAATTCCTTGCATTAACAGATCTTCAGTAGCATCAAAACACCTTCCTTGAAGGGTAAGAAGGGTAAGAGCTATGCAGCTGGGATCGAAGAGAGCACAGCTAAAGTCCAGTATTCATGAGTGGAGAGTTGGTGGAGGTGAAGTGCGTGTTCCCTAAGACGCTCAGGGTAAATACCTGACGGGGAAGTAAGTGGATGTCTGCAATACCATCAATCTCCTGCATAGACAGGGTTTTCCTGGAGGCTAAAAAAAATAATAGAGGTGTAGCTGGAGAAATGCTAGGCCAGTGGTGGAGGTATTTTAGGCGTCAGGAAAAATTTCTTCCACCGTCTCTGGTATTTATTTAGTAAATAACGTCAACAAAGTCATCTTATCGATATACAATACCGACAAGATTATTTCATCTTCCACTGCCTTCTGTGAACCTCTAAACTGAATTGAAAAACAGGGGATGAGCTTTTCAGCTCATCCCCTGCATGCATCAGCCTTAATAGATATTTTAACAATGCAAGGAATTCGCAAGAGCAGGCGAAATATACACAAACACTGATCTCTGGTCCGGTGTGGTGAGAATGGTAAAGCACTGCGTACCTTGTTCCAAGGTTCGTAGGTTCGAGTCTCCTTCGGCCAGAGATCAGTGTTTGTGTATATTTCGCCTGCTCTTGCGAATTCCTTGCATTGTTAAAATATCTATTAAGGCTGATGCATGCAGGGGATGAGCTGAAAAGCTGTAAGCCTTCTCCCTGAAAGCTGGTTGCCTTGGATCAACGTCTAGCGCAACCTACACGCCAAGGTATTGTCCAGAGTGGGTAGATTGGTATAGCACTGCGTACCTTGTTCTAAGGTTCGAGTCTCCTTCAGCCAGAGATCAGTGTTTGTGTATATTTCGCCTGCTCTTGCGAATTCCTTGCATTGTTAAAATCTCTAGTAAGGCTGATGCATGCAGGGGATGAGATGAAAAGCTGTAAGCCTTCTCCCTGAAAGCTGGCTGCCTTGGATCAACGTCTAGCGCAAGCTGCACGCCAAGGTATTGGTCCAGTGTGGTGAGAATGGTAAAGCACTGCGTACCTTGTTCCAAGGTTCATAGGTTCGATCAGTGTTTATATATATATATATATATATATATATATATATAAATTGGCTGATATACAGTAACATTTTTAACCTGTTTAATTTCGAAGCAAGCCTTTTATTGGGAAATTTCACTATGTAGAGAAAAGCGTTGTCACAATATAAACTTGTTTTGTCACTCACGTATTTACATCATTTATTTTACGTAGTGGGATACTCCCTGATATTAATATTTCATTTATCACTTTCAGAATGAAGACTCTTATCCAGGTGATGAGCTCTGAGCTTTGGCTAACAGGAGGAAGCCGGGCAACTACCAGTCATAGCATCCAGTCCTCGACTCCTGCCCAGTTGCTTCAGTTACTCCTGTGTACACATGTGACACACCACTCTGGGGACATGTAAAGACCAGCTGAGACTACAGCCTGTGTTCTACACTGTTAGTGCTGCCGAACTAACACTTCTCTGAATGAATGGATATCTAGTTAGAGAAAGCTATCGTGGCCTTGTCTTCTCTGTGCATTCTGTTATTCTGAGAAGGAAACACCTCCAAAGTTCCAAATGGCCCATACAAAAAGAATAGCTCTGAAACTAAAATGCAATATTTTACCAATAAATTTTAAACGTAACTCAAATATACTTTAACCCAAGATAAGAATCTCGCAAGCTGGTAAATAACAGAAGAAAAATAATCAAACAAAATTATCTAAAAGAGAGAGGCAAGCATGGAGAAAGAATTTTGGCAGCTGCTACTGGTGACCGTCTTGCTTATCACGGGTAAGTTGCGCTTGTATTATGCTGTGTTTTAATTGTTTGTTGAGAGATACTATGGCACTGTCTTGTCTGGTGAGAGATCAACTTTGTCTAAAAATGTTAAAAAAAAAATTGTAAAGAAAATAACTTTTACGACTTTGCAGTTTGTTATAATAACATTAACAACAATAATAATAATAATAATAATAATAATAATAATAATAATAATTACAAAAATAATAGTAATTAATTAAAAAGTAACTTCAAAAAGTAATTTGGCATTCTTAACGTAACGTGTCATTATATCCCAAACCAATTGAAATGTTAATTTGGTTTTAGATTGTTCTTTTAATGTAAGAAACTGGCACTAAAAGTCTCCTTAGTTTACTGTATGATATATTAATCATATTTAAGAAAACATTATCTTAGATTATATAAAAGGCAAACAGGCAAAGATTTCAGTGTAGACTCGAGAATGAGTTTGGCAAATCATTTTGTAAAGAGGGTTTGGGTTTGAGATTAACCTGCCTTAGTATGGGCAGGTAGGCTTGCTGTAGTGTTCCATCATTCTTATGTTCTTAAGCAGTATTACTGCATCATCTGCAATTTTCAACAGTTTGTTCAATGATTTGACTGTTATTATTCTCCAAAGACGGGGAGGGCAGTTCAGTTCCTTGAACTAAGTCGTTCAACAATATTTAAGCGTCAGGGACGGGAATATCAAAATATATCTAGTAAACACGTTATATTTCTAGCATAACCGAAGAAACTATCATCTTAGGTTCATTTCTCAGTTTTAGCAAAGTATACTGCTCAAAATGGTATAGAACTTGCTCTTGCGTCTTTCTAAACAATTGTTCAAACTGATAGTCAGATTTCTGAACATAGTTGATGACTGACTATCGTCAGCGTGTGATAGTGGACTGTGGAAAAATTGATAAATAACGTATTATTTAAAGAATAAGATATATTTGCAACACTATTAAAGATATCGGCAACAAAGATACCCAAGTTTTGTTAATGTGTCTTATTCAACAACTTGTTAGTATTATACAAGTTACGTTAGGTTACGTAAGGTTAGGTTAGGTTAGGTAAGGTAAGGTAAGGTAAGGTTAGGTTAGGTTAGGTTAGGTTAGGTTAGGTTAGGTTAGGTTAGGTAAGGTAAGGTAAGGTAAGGTAAGGTAAGGTAAGGTAAGGTAAGGTAAGGTAAGGTTAGGTTAGGTTAGGTTAGGTTAGGTTAGGTTAGGTTAGGTAAGGTAAGGTAAGGTAAGGTAAGGTAAGGTAAGGTAAGGTAAGGTAAGGTTAGGTAAGGTTAGGTTAGGTTAGGTTAGGTTAGGTTAGGTTAGGTTAGGTAAGGTAAGGTAAGGTAAGGTAAGGTAAGGTTAGGTAAGGTAAGGTAACGTTTGTCAGGAAACAGGACAAGTGTTTCATCACGCGGGTCTCTGATGACCCGTCACTGGAGCTTTTGGTTATCTGACTGAGGCCTTCCGCTGGCTTACCGTTCCACCCTTTTAAAAATTATGGGTATGATTATAACCATTAGAGGATACTAGTGGATAGCACCAATAATGTGAGTAGGATTTAAAATAAGCCTGACGTGAATATAACCATCACACACACACACACACACACACACGTAGCGGCCAGTGAAGAGGCGGGGCCAGGAGCTGTGACTCCATCCCTGCAACCACAACTAGGTGACCACACACAAACACACATACAACTTCCCTCTCTCACACTCTACAGTGAGGGTAATCTTCACTAATTTGTTCTTTTATCTACTAAAATACAATCTTTTGTAGTCCGGATAGTTAATTAACATACGTCAGAGGTATTACAGCACAAATCCCCTACAGTTCTTCATTACATTTCCTTCACCTCTGACATATAAATAACAGTTTTCACCTGATATATTTTTTCATTTAAGCAACATAAATAAGTTTTATAGCATAATCATCATATATACAACGTGAAGTGTATATCCGCTGACAGGTGTATCTTTCAACGTATATACTCAGAGGTGTATTTTCAATGTAAATACACACAGAAGTGTGCATCTCACACACACACACACACACACACACACACACACACACACACACACACACACACACACACACACACACACACACACACACACACACACACACATAATTTTCAAGGATGAATTAGTTCGAACAAGGATTCTGCAAGAGAAAGCAAGACTGAGGGACAAACAGGGGTACCAGAGAGTATACCTCGACCGCGACAGAACACAAGAAGAAAGGACTACACTGAAAGAGAGGGTACAGAGACACAAGGAGGAACGAGAGGCAATGACGAAGATGAGCAGGACCCAGACACAGGAGGAAGGGCAAACACACCCCACAGAATCTCCCACCAAAAGACTCCAACCGCGACATTCCCAACGCAACTGAGCAACCTATACTACAACCCACTCACTGTTCCCTCTGCCACCAACCCCTATATCACAAACCTCACCCCAACAGCTGTCCCTTATGGGCATTCTGACCCCACCCGCATCATCACAAACCCCACCTACACCACAGCCCCATATAGGCCCCCACCAAGGCTCTCGCTCCCCCAACCCCAATATTCTTGCATGACCACAATGATAGAAAAGAAACTGAAAGTTTGGTACACAAACGCGGATGGAATAACGAATAAACATGAGGAGTGGAACGAAAGAATCAGTGAAAAATCCCCAGACATCATAGCAGTCACAGAAACAAAACTCGCTGAGACAATAACAGACACAATCTTCCCAACGGGATATCAGATCCTGAGGAAAGATAGGAGTAGAGGGGGAGGAGGTGTTGCACTGCTCATAAAACACCGATGGGGATTTGAGGAAATGGAAGGCATGGACATGATTGGAGAAAGACTACATTGTAGGTACAATTCAGTCCGGAGAACATAAAGTAGTCATTGGAGTGATGTATAACCCACCACAGAACTGCAGGAGGCCAAGAGAGGAGTACGAAGAAAACAGAGTGATGGTGGACACACTGGCTGAGGTGGCAAGAAGAGCTCACTCGAGCAGAGCAAAGTTACTGGTAATGGGCGATTTCAACCACAGGGAGATCGACTGGGAAAACCTGGAGCCACATGGGGGTCCCGAAACATGGAGAGCCAAGATGATGGATGTGGTACTTGAAAACCTCATGCATCAACATGTCAGGGACACAACCAGAGAGAGAGGGGAGGATGAGCCAGCAAGACTGGATCTTGTGTTCACCCTGAGCAGTTCAGACATTGAGGACATCACTTACGAGAGGCCCCTTGGAGCTAGCGATCACGTGGTTCTGAGTTTTGATTATATAGTAGAGTTACAAGTGAAGAAGGTAACAGGAACTGAAGGGGACAGGCCAAACTATAAAAGGGGGGACTACACAGGTATGAGAAACTTCCTGCAGGAGGTTCAGTGGACAGAGAAATGGTAGGAAAATCAGGAAACGAGATGATGGAATATGTGGCAACAAAGTGCAAGGAGGCAGAGGAAAGTTTTGTTCCCAAGGGAAACAGAAATAATAGGAAGACCAAAACGAGTCCTTGGTTTACCCAAAGGGTGTAGGGAGGCAAAAACTAAGTGCAACAGAGAATGGAAAAGGTACAGGAGGCATAGGACCCAGAAAACAAGGAGATTAGTAGAAGAGCCAGAAACGATATGCACAGATAAGGAGAGGGGGCCCAGCGACAGTATGAAAACGACATAGCATCGAAAGTAAAAATCTGACCCAAAACTGCTGTAATAGCCACATTAGGAGGAAGACAACAGTCAAGGACCAGGTGATAAGGCTGAGGAAAGAAGGTGGAGAACTCACAAGTAACGATCAAGAGGTATGTGAGGAGCTCAACACGAGATTTAAGGAAGTATTTACAGTAGAGACAGGAAGGACTCTGGGGGGACAGACCAGATGGGGACACCAGCAAGGAATACACCAACAAGTGTTGGACGACATACATACAGATGAGGAGGAGGTGAAGAAACTGCTAAGGGGCATTGATACCTCAAAGACAATGGGACCGGACATCTCCCCGTGGGTCCTTAGAGAGGGAGCAGATATGTAGTGCATGCCACTTACCACAATCTTCAATGCGTCCCTGGAAACTGGGCAACTACCTGAGGTATGGAAGACGGCAAATGTAGTTCCCATTTTTAAAAAAGGAGACAGAAAAGAGGCACTAAACTATAGACCTGTGTCATTGACGTGTATAGTATGCAAAGTTATGGAGAAGATTATCAGGAGGAGAGTGGTGGAGCACCTGGAACGGAACGAGAGTATAAATGCCAACCAGCACGGATTCATGGAAAGCAAATCCTGTGTCACAAACCTTCTGGAGTTTTATGATAAAATAACAGAAGACACGAGAGAGAGAGGGGTGGGTTGATTGCATCTTCTTGGACTGCAAGAAGGCCTTTGACACAGTTCCTCACAAGAGATTAGTGCAGAAGCTAGAGCATCAGGCGCATATAACAGGAAGGGCACTACAATGGATCAGAGAATACCTGACAGGGAGGCAACAACGAGTCATGGTACGTAATGATGTATCACAGTGGGCACCTGTGACGAGCGGGGTCCCACAGGGGTCGGTCCTAGGACCAGTGCTATTTTTGGTATATGTGAACGACATGATGGAAGGGTTAGACTCAGAAGTGTCCCTGTTTGCAGATGATGTGAAGTTAATGAGGAGAATTAAATCAGATGAGGACCAGGCAGGACTTCAAAGAGACCTGGACAGACTGGACACCTGGTCCAGCAAATGGCTTCTCGAATTTAATCCTGCCAAATGCAAAGTCATGAAGATAGGGGAAGGGCACAGAAGACCACAGAGTATAGGCTAGGTGGCCAAAGACTGCAAACCTCACTCATGGAGAAAGATCTTGGGGTGAGTATAACACCGAGCATGTCTCCGGAAGCACACATCAATCAGATAACTGCTGCAGCATATGGGTGCCTGGCAAACCTGAGAACAGCATTCCGATACCTTAGTAAGGAATCGTTCAAGACACTGTACACCAT